GTTAAAAAAATTATATTTACGGTCTTAAAAGTAAAGCGATTAAAATTGTCAAAATGAAACCTAAGTGAGCAATAAATAGTAATTATGAAAGCTTGGAAGTTTAGTTCAATTTGAGCTACACATAAAAAATGAAATTACATAAATCAATATTGATTATTATAAATATAAATTAATTAGAAAAAAATCAGCTGAAAGACTCAATCTAATTCAATATATTTATTTCATTATAATTAATTTATTGAAATATTTAAATATTATTACCAAAATTCGTTTCAAGAACAACGGGACTATAAAAATAGTACTCAAAGATAATCTGAACTGTACATTAAAAAAAAAACAGAAAACAAATATTTATCCCCTCGCATATTACCATATATTACTATATTGCCACCAGCGAAAAAAAAAATTACTAAAGGTATGTTAGTAATTATGAAGAAAAACGCAGGTTTTACGGGCAGGAAGCTCGGTCTTTTCCGTTACTATTGTGCGGACAAACGGACGGGAGAAGTCTTTTCCGCACGATAGGGAATCGTACGGGCCGACAGGAAGTCTCGGGAACTATGCATATCCCAGCCGTCAGATCTGCTACCTTCTTACACGTGGAGGTCCATGATCGTATCTCAGCTGTAAGCCAATCCCAGTTTCAGGCTTTGTAGATCAGGAGCCGTTCATCTTGGTACAGACGCTGGGAAATAAGCGATTAGAATGGCCCAATAAGAATGTTAAAACACGTGTCAATACTAATAAGGGTGGGGACTATATGAACAATAAAATATTAAGAGAATAATATAATTTTTTTGATGCGTGTCGGATGGTTGGGATCTTCATAAGGGTTTGTACGATTGAGATCAAATAAGGACATTTTAAATTATATAAAAAAAAAAGATTATGACTTCTCGTTTAAGAATTAAAGAAAATATTATTTTTTAACTCTTTATGATAAATAAAGAGATTATTATGTGTGAAGATTGGACATAGAAAATCATTTGATTTTGTCTCTCTGAACAATAAAAGCGCAATGAAATGCCCTTTTATTATTCACAGAGAAAAATCAGACGGTTTCCTTTATCCAATCTTTGCACCTAATAATTTCTCATGATAAATGAGGTTAGCAACTCACCTCCAAGTGTTAGTTGAAAGTTCTATTTTTCACTTATATGTAAACAAAAGTTTATCGCTATGGTGAAAAATTATGATTAATGAATAGTGATAATTATTTCATTTATTATTGTTATTTAAGAGTTTGTTGATATAAGATGAAACGATATAGATCATTGATAGATGTTTCAGTGTTTGACGTGAGATAAATATGGTCTAAAATTTGTGGCGTTTGAAATGGGTCTTTTTTTTTTTTTTTTTTATTTGAACATATTCTATTTTTTACTCTGACTCGATCTTTGGTCTTGCCCGTTTTGATATTTTGTTTGTGCCTTGATTTAATCTCATACATCTATCCTGGCTCTACCCTTATAATGTAACAACATTTCGCATTCGTATCTAAGTTGTAAATCGATGGTGTGTACCGGATGATGTGGCCCATTCTAATTTGCCTCTGAACAGTCTAGTGTCCTCACATAATAATGAGATATCTCATTCCCATGAGTGTAATCTTTAAAAATTTAAGCTTATGAGGGTAAATTTAAGAATTGTACACATGATAGGATTGCAACCATAAAAAACTAGAAATTGTTTATATATAATAAAATTCACATCAGAAGGCCCTTGAAAGCGAACTTTTATTTTGTCCGGTGAATGGATGTAGAGCTACGTTCGTCCGGCATTGAGATCGAGCCACGTAGCAGGCACAAAACCGCGAACCGACCCGTCAAATAGTGGGTATGTCGCACTTGCATTTTTTAAATCCATGACAACTCGGTATTACTAGGTATTGCTAGGTATTTTGTCGATTTTGGTTCAATAACGATAAATACCATTATGTGAAGACAAATACCGTGCAATACCAAGTAATACCGAGCAATACCTAGTTTTTCTAGAAAAACTCGGTATTACTCGGTATTGGTTTTCATAGAGCGGTATTTCTCGTTATTGCCAAGCAATACCGACTAATACCTAGCAATACACGAACATAGCATTCCCGGGTTCAGGTCCGGATCAAGTAGTCGGGCCGCACGATAAAGAGTAAAAACACATGGCATAATCTCAGTGGTGACCGAACGTAAAGCTACGTCCGATAACTGGACCCAATAATTGTTCCTTGAAAGCACCCTTATGAAACCTCGTTAAGAACAACCTTAGGATTTCTCCAGGGGAAACCCTTGACCATGGGCGGAACCCCATTGGGGTCAGGGGGGGCAATTGCCCCCCCTCAAAAAAAAATATTTTTTAATTTATATGGTTTTTTTAGGTAATTGTTTCCTTTTAATCTATTTTTTAATCTTTTTTACAAGGGTTTTAGGCAATTGCACCCCCTAAAAATTTTTAAAATACTATGATCTTTAGGTAATTGCCCCCAACAGGTCGAACCCCGCCAAGGGGCACTGCCCCCATGAACCCCCGACATATATGCCTTATAAGTTTGCCCCCTCTAAAAACTAGGGCTGGTTCCGCCCCTGGCCTTGACTTTGATTTAATGGAACCATCTCAAGTGCATTTGTGAACATTCCACTAATTTAGTGGCCTTCTCTTTAACAACCTTCATGATACAAAAAAGTACCACATTTAAAATAATAACCATGTGTTTTAATAAAATAATGCAAGCGTTGTCGACTTTTATTGTCAACCATTCCTTAGGGAAACTCCAATGGAATAGCAAATCAGTGTTTGTCGTTCTTCCTTTCCTCCAACCGAGCACTATTTTTGATGTCATTTGATCGGAGATGAACAGTGTAACGCCAATATTGGTGTCGCACTGTTATCAGCCATTTTTTTTAATTCGAAAATTAATTATTAATTTGAAAGTTTGAAGTTTAGAAATTTTATATTATTAATTAAAATAATAAATTAGAAATATCTTATTTTTTTAGAAATCTAAATTTTTTTACATAATTAATTAATTAATTTACGTTACAACATCAAGATAAAATTCTCATACATAAAAGATATTGAGAAGTACAATATAATATTTTTTTATTTATGACATTAATATTCCAAATTATTTTATAGAGCAAAAAATATTTTCTTAATTATAATATATTTAATTCAAAAATTTGATAAATAATATTTATGTTTAAAAATATATAAAATGAAATATGGGAAAGAATATACTAGGATTATTCTTTTTTTGGTGTTAGAAAATGGAGTTCAGTTGGAGACAAGTTACTGTATTTTGAAATGAAAAATGAGTTTTTCGATTGGGGATACCCTTAGCATTGGAGTTCATATGCTCTAAATTGATCAACAATATAGAATGTCTTCCCATAACTTTAGCAATTGTCTAAACATCCTCAAACCCTAAGAGATTCTATCATAATTAGAGCTAATGCTAAATATTTAAGCCCCTATAAATACTAATGCATTAAAATTATAAAGGACTTTTAGCCATTAGATACATGCATGCTCATAATAATTAATCATCTCAATCTAGATAGTGCATGTTGTCTAAGATTTTGACTTCGTTTGGAATGACTTTCTTATTGCTTCTTAAAATTATTTTTTAATAGAAAATTTTTAATTTTTGTACTAAAAAGCTGCATTAAGAATCGATAAAAAAGCCGTCTCAAATGAACCTTTAGTTTGAGATAACTTTCTTATTGCTTCAAAAAATAGCTTTTTAATGTAAAAAATTTTTTATGTTAAAAAATTACTTTACGAAGAAGTAAAAAAATTATCCAAAACAAATCTTACACCTCTTAGCATAGTTAGCATGATTGTTCCTAGGGCTGTCAAAATCGGGTCACGGGTCGGGTTTGGGTCCAACCCGAAATTGCCCCAACACTGTTCAATCTGACCCGAACCCGATCTGTTTTTGCAAACAGGTCAATTTTTCGAACCCGAACCTGATTCGCTTTAGGTCCGGGTCAACCCGACCCCGACCCGATACGGGTATTTTTATAATTTTTTTATTTAATTCAATTTATTTAAATCAAAATCAAATAAAAATAAGATTTACTTTAATTAATTTAAAATAAATCTAGATTAATTTAATTTGGGCAATAATGTTTATAATTTTTTAAAATATCATTTACTTATTTCATAAAAATTCATTAAAACCCTACTAAATTAATTAAAAATGTGTCAAATAGGATTGATTTCAAATTTTCGGGTCAATCCGAACCCGACCCGATTTTACAAACGTGTCAAAATCCGTACCCCGAACCCTACCCAATTCTGATTCGGGTTAACCCGTCAAGTTTTTAGGTCGGGCCAAATGTTGACATCTCTAATCGGTCCCCTACATGCTCGCTTTGCCTTAAAATTTAATTGCTATGCAATTTTTATTTTATTTTAGATCAGTGCATCGGAAGGCTCAATCAAAGATTGCAAACGAACGGCTGAGATCTATTCACACGAAACGAGGATTAGATGGCAACGTACGGAGACCGCAACAGACCCGAAAGTAGGGATTGACCCCGTATCGCGGGAGCCGATATAGCAACCCTAGTTTCCTCTACTCCACAACGTCGACGTGCACGCTGCTCTCGGTCAAATAAGCGGACTTTTGACAAAACAAGGGTGCAGATATCCATGCACAGCCAATAAAATATCACGAGGACCCTTGTAATGTAGCGAGCGGTGCGCTCGCAGGAACTGCAGTTCCACCATACTCTACTTGCCACGTGTCTAATTCAATGGTCCATTTTTTTTCTTTTTGTTCTCGGAGAACTTTACCGCAGATCAGGAAACAAGAGATTTGGCGCCGGTTTTTCCCACATTTGTTCTTTCTTAAATATAATTGAGGAAGTATAAATATTTACAGACTTTAATTATTAATATCCTTAATCGGAAAATCATTAATGAGTAATTAAATAGGCAATTTAACTCATAATCTCAGAAAATAATTATTATTATCATAAAATTGAAAACGATGGAGAGGCTGCAAATTAAAAAAAGAGAGGAAATTTTTCAAAAATTTAGAAATTAAGACATGAAGATGAATTGATTGCTGGGGAGATTTAGCCGAATATCTTTATTTACTCTCTGTACACTGGCTGTCGACCAGCCGCCGCCGTTTCAGAGGCGGCGAGTCGCCGTTGATCAGGCCGGCGGTGGACGACTTCTGCGTGTCGCAGCTGCCGCACTGGGCGGTGTCAAGAACGCCGACAGGGCTTCGCGGCGTGGGTGGGCGGATCGGAGGCTTAGCTCGTGGTGATGGAGACCTGTCGATGAGATACTGATCCATTAGCTGGCGGCAGGCCCCCAATACATCCTGCTTCAGAAAAAAAAATCAGCAAAAAAACATAATCATTATATTTTCCCAAAAAAATAAGCATTATTTGCGTAGTTTAAAATTTTAAATTAAATAATATTTTAAAATAAATTCATAGTATTTGTCTTACATTAAATTTTATAATTTGACTACTTTATATGATCAATCTGAGCTAAAAAAATTATTAAGAGATCATAAGAATATTATTAAAAATTATTATAAAATTTTGATAAGCAATTTAGAAACCGTGCATTAGATCAGGGGGTTAATTATTCTTTATTCTGAATGAGATTACCTTGCTTAACCACCCACTTAAGCAGCTAAGGCAGTCGCCGTTATCGGTGGGCGTAGAATCGGAAAGTTCTGCTGCAGCGCACAGAACCGCAGCGCCGGCGACGGCCGACGGTCTGAATTTAATGAAATCTACAACTGATTCAAAGCAATCGAAAGATAATCAAAGTGATTAATCGAAAGGAGTAAAAGGCGTAAATAATACTTGATAAGCGCGTTAAAAGAAGCAGCTTTTTACCGGGGAGTGTACTGATAATGAGATCGGCTGCGCGGGAAAAGAGGGCAGGGCGAGAAGCGCTTACGTATGGGAGAACGACGGAAGCGAAATGAGGAAGGAAATTGAACGGCGTAATGGAGCGCATCCGCCAATGGAGCGCCGCCATGAGAACGAGCTCCATGCGTCGAATGGTTCTGGGCTCGAACAAACACCTTGGGTCAAGAATCTGGAGATCGAGAAGCAGGGGAACGTGGGTTTCTTCCATTTTCGCTGCGACGGAGATGCAAGCTACAGATAGAAGCTGTATCGGCCACCCGTTTTGCTCCTTTACTACCTGCAAGTCAAAAAGGTCAGATCTTGGAAGGTAAAGAGAAAGGAGTAAACTTTGGGCCTGAATAGATGATATACTGGAAGGGAGTTGACTGAGAGGAAGCGGTCGAGGTAGTTGACGGAGAGGTAGGCGGTTTCCGGACGGAAGCGGTAGAAATCGATTACCTGGTTGGGAGTATATCGGCTTAAAAAACTTAAAATTTCTATAATACATATAATTGATTTGGTAATTGTATTAGGATTTAAGTGAGAAAGTTAATGCCTTGAGGATCCAGTTGATCGAATCATGGCGAGCGGTGATGCTGTCGAGGGATCGAGAGAGATAGTCAGAACACGGTATGTGTTCTGTTTCGGCTGAGAGAAGTGCCATGAGATCGAAAGCAGCAGGTGTCCACTCGTCGCCGAAGTCATCCCCGCCGCCGTTGCCGCCAGCGTCCCAGGAATCGGCGTCCTCGGCGCAGTAAAGGCTATAAGAGGTGGAGAGATCCATTGAGCGACAGAGGAGGATATGTTGAGATGGTCAGTGGCTGAACATCGGTGGTTTTGGTCGCCGGGAAACAGGGGGGTGTCTGCGACTGGCAAGGGCAAAACTGAGGCCGAGTGTTCGAGAGGGCATGTAAGAAGTGAGCAGAAGAGAGAGGAAATGATCCCTCTCTTCGCACCTCTCTCTCTCTCTCTCTCTCTCTCTCTCGCGTCGCGCTCTTTGTCTTCTCTGTGTTTCGGCTTGCTTCCTTGGAGCAGTGAAGCTACAGCCTTTTGACGGTAGCAGGAGCGGGTCGTGGGCCGAAAGAGGAGAGACGTTCTCTCGTGCATTTATATCTCTCTAAAAGTTGTATTAGGGATAAGCTTTCTATGATTATTTTTAATAGAGAAATAATGTTTTTATTATTTTTTAATATAATATGTAAGAAAAAAAGTTTTAAAATATTCCTATCAAGTTTTTTTATAAAATAAATCTAAAATATTTAATCCTCTTCCAATAAATAGAATATAAATTTTAATTAATTTCATAGTATAATATATTAATTTTGACTCCATTATCTTAGATTAGGTGGCCATTATTGTTGAAGGTTAGTTATGTTATACATTTATACTGTGAATCTTAAACTTAAAGTGGGAAATATTTGTTTTGTCATGATTGAAATATATTCGACATATAATAGAATTTTTTTTTTTCAAAATTTTTTGAATATTTTTGGTATAGTTTTTTGACCAAGTCAATGATAAGAGAAATATTTAGTAAAAAAAAATAATGTGTTGGAAAAAAATTTATGGGTGTTTGGTTAGAAGACTTTATGGATTATGGTGTAAAGTATTTCAAATGTAGATGTTTTAATAATTTCGTGTTTTGTTGGATGAAAATTAAACAAAACAATGTAAGATAAATGTAATGTAAATCATTCCAGTTCATTTTGAGGTAAATTAAACTCGCTCAATTTCAAGTGAGGACAATTTACACCGCAATGAAGCTTGCTTGATCACCGGTTGTCGCTAACCTCCGCGATTGCCGACCACCACCGCTACTCGTCACCACCTCAACGGTTGCCACAAGCCACCGCCACCATCTGTCGGCCACCTCTAGCAGGGTCACCACCAAGTCGGCCAACCCTGCTGGCCACCACATGCCGCCAACCACCACTGCTTACGCCAACTCCCACACTAACCACCACCAATTTTTGACTTTACATTATTCATTACTTCAAACCGAGTAAAAAAATATTCAATAGCTTTGTGACACCCCAGGCATCCATAGTGAAAGGATTCGTCTGACATTCTGATCGAACTCCATTCCAGTTGCCTTGCTCGGACCTGAAATTTTAAACCACATATAATGAGCTTACAAAGCCCAGCAGGTCACCTAATACCTATAACTGAAATCAAAGCACGGCGATGCTATCAATATGCATGTCAATCTATCAATCTGAATCAGTCAATGGTCAATGAGTCTATGCAGTGGAAATCAAATCAGTAGTCGATGCAATCCGAAAATCAATAGTCAATAAAACCAGTCAATGCAGCGGTAGGCAAATCAATCATTTCAATTCAATCAATCAATATCCGTCAATCAAATCAATACGGTCAAATCAATGAAATCAGTCGAGAAAAGCAATACGGAACAATGAATCTATACGACAGTCAATACGGTACAGAAACAGTAGGCAGTAGTACGATGTCCATGTTCATGCTATCAATACAGTATCTATATCTATCAATGTCCATATCAATGCTCAGTAGTATCAATGTTCAGTAGTCAATCGATGAAATCAGTGAAATCGTACGATACAGTAAACCCGATCAAATCCGTAAAATCCGTAAATCAATACATTAAACATGCAATCAATACGATAATACTGAACAATGTATAATCAATGGTCATGTTGCTGTTGTAGAATTCATATTGCTGTTGTAGATATCAATACATTGGTTCTATGAAAAGAGTCGTCACTCTATTGCCCGTCGGCATATAATCTCCTTATGACTCCCATCGTTATATCCATGATCCATGATCTATGATTTAAAGGAAAGCCCGTCGGCCCACCATCCTGTACAGGTATCATCTCCAACCAATGTTCAACCAGGTTATACGTGTTTCAGTATCAATAAGCAATCAATAATCAATATTAGAGCAATCATACAAAATCTTCGAAAATAGAAATAGGGTTCGGAGTCCTTACAGCGAGACAAACAAATCTTCTAACAGCGTCGTCGGACGAAAAGCGCTCCGTGGCCTCCAAAACCAAGCTTCCTTCTTCTCTTCCTTCTCTTTCTCTCTCTTGCCTTTTCTCTCTCTCCAAAATGAATCCAAAATATCTAAAATCTGATATTTATTAACACTGATCGTCCTGGACGATCCAAATTTCGTCCTGGTACGATGGGTTCTCTGGACAAATTTCGTACAGACGAAATCCAAATTCGTCCCGGGCGACTTGCTCTCTGGACAGATTTCGTACAGACGGATCGTCCCGACTGCTCCAGGTTCGTACAGACGAAAATGGCAGATTTCTTCACAAATTTCTTCAGTTCGTCCAGTACTAAATCCAGTTCGTACAGACGAACTGCACTAAAAAAAAATCAGCTTTTTGAAGGGTTTTACAAGCTTGTATTTAATTTACATTCATCCAAACAACTCAAAATGTTCTTTTTTACTCTATATTCTTTTTATGCTTGATTCCTTTTTATCCAACCAAACAGTCTCTTAATAAAACATTGCTAGTAAGCCTTCGAGGGTGTCCCCTTAAGGAGAAATTATTTTGTGCGGTATCCAAACATGTACAGAGGCCAATCCAGATGCACCACGTCATCTAATGCACAATGCATTTGGTGAATTGGCACGTAAGAATTAGCCTCTGGATGTATCTGAACACCACACATAATAATTTTTTCACCTTAAGATGGGTCATAAGGGCAATTTTTTAGAGAGCCCTACTAGAGAAGATTAGCCTCATTCAAAAAAGAGGTTAACTATCACACATTTTAAGGTCTACAAATATTTCTATTAAGGCAATGGGCACAAAAAATGTTTCTTGAGTTATTAAACTACATGAAATTTTTTGTTAAGTTTTATATTAAATTGTTGAAAAAATATCCTAAAATTATCAAGCTATTGGCCCTTACTAATAAGCTTAATCTATTTAAATATGAAGATTAAGATGTTTGAACCAACTTGACCAATTTGATTCACTCCTCTAATAAAATTCTTATTGAATTATTTGAAGCAAGCTTAGGATTCATTTTGGACAACTTTCTTACTGCTTAATAAAGCATCTTTTTAGTATAATTTTTTTTAAACTTAAAAATTTTTGTACTAAAAAACTACTTTAAAAATCAGTAAAAAACATGTTCCAAATAAAACATTAGTTTCATATACACACAACAAAAGTTAGATAATGTTTGAGCATGTAAAATTAACTGTCAAGCTTCTTAAATGATCATCCAAATTAGATCATTGGCTCCAGAACAAGAGCTTCATAATAATTTGAAATTTTTTCATGTGAGAACTAATGGATATGATGATATCAAATGATTTTGAGATCAAAATTTATTCAATTGTTATATCTTAAAGGAAATCAAATGTTTAATAATAAGTACAAGATCAAATGATTCAATATATGCCATACAACAAAATCTTATAAACTTTTGGTTGAATTTATTAAAATTTTATTTTGAGAAAGATATAAATAATCCTCCATTCTTTGCATAATTAGGATGTAGACTTCAGGGAAGAGAGAACTTAAATATGAAATTTATAGAGCTCTATCTAACGTTTGATATTAATGATCACCGCTAGCCCCAGTGCCGTAACCAGACCATTGTTGTCCAATTGTCGATATCTGGCCATCTTTGCATGCCTGTTACAATGCATTACCGATCATTTAATTGCTATGGTTCGACTGTTGTCACCTGACGATGTTACCTAATTGCTATCTTTCAACTATTGTTATCCGACTAACATTGTATGATGCTATCTTCATCGCTCCAATGATTCTACTATAATTATTGGAGATCGAGCAAGTGCTCCCAAATTTATTATCTTGTGTTCTCCAATTATGAGGAACAACAAATTTTTGTATCTTGAACTTTATAATAGCTTCTTTAAACTCGGCCAGATCCTAAGATTTTTTTCCTTTCCGAATTTATCTTTGATATCTCCTACATTTATTCTCTTTTATATATGTGTATTGAATCATCTTACAAAACTAGAACGTCAAACTCAATCTATACTTATTAATATTTTTTTAGAACCTTTCCTCATAGAAGCACTTCTCTTTCTCTTATTTGAGCATACCTAGGGGCGGATCCAGCTTCTTTTTTCAGGGTAGGAAAAAAAAAATTTGTGGGGATGGACAAAAATGCCTAGGATTGATAAAATTAGGACAAAAAATATTTTTGAGGGGGGCAAAATGCCTAAAATACTCAAAATATTCAAAAAAATCTCCTATAAATATTTAAAAAAAAAAATTTGAGGGTGGGGTGGATCCGCCCATGAGCAAACCCAAAATATAATTTGGAGTTAGACTTAGGCTTCGTTTGGGACGACTTTTTTATTTCTTTCTAAAATAGAGTTTTAGTATAATTTTTTTTATTTTTAAACTAAAACTCTATTTTAGAAAGCAATAAAAAAGCCATCCCAAACGAAGCCTATTAGATGGCTTTCTCACTGCTTTTAAAACAATTTTTTAGTATTAAAAATTTTAGTTTAAGAAATTTTTGTACTAGAAATCTACTATAAAAACCAGTAAGAAAGCCCTCCCAAACGAAGCCTTCGACACAATCCCGGCTCAAACTATAATTTGGAGCTAGACATGATGTAATATCAGTTTTTGCTCCAGGTTCGTCCGGACGAAGTCGGATCGTCCGGGACGATCGGTACAGGTTGTGCAGAGAAAATCATGTTTGGCTGTATGGTTCGTCTGGACGAAATCAGGATCGTCTGGACGAAAATAAGTCAGAGAACCCTTCGCCGGGGACGATATTCAATTTTCGTATTAAAACATTATGGTTAAAGTTTCAATCATACAACAAAAAGCCTCAATTTATGAGAAAAAATATATTAAATAAAAGTTATCATCAAATATTCTATTTTAATAACAAATTAATATTCAACCATACATCTTAAAATGTGATTAATTTAAATTTTTAGTAACATTAAAATCTCTTGTTGCTAATCAAGAGACATCCATTAGTGCAAAAATGTGCTAGCTAGCTAGATGCATAATGTACATAGCCATCATAAAGCTAAAATTTTAATGCTTGCAAAGTTAATCAAAAGC